GAGAGAATCGTGCTGCACAAAATTCATATTGTTTCTAGTAATAAACTTCGTTCTTAAACATAAATCAAAATCATAAACCATATTGGGTCTAAATAGAACGTAGTATTACAGTTGTCGGTGCAAGTGTGAATTTACTATTACTGATTTCATATTAGTGTCCAAGATATCCAGAAAAATTAACCTTATGCCTTCCTCAGTACACCTAGAAAATTGTTTTCTTATATTGAAAAAGAAGGAACTGTCCCTATTTAAACAACGGAACGTTTTTTCTTCCTTTCTTCATAAATAAAGTTTATTAAAAAGAACAACGGATTGCCTTAATTTCAAAAAAAGGGGATGGAATGAGGAATTATTTTAAAAAATACACGAATTCGATTGATGGTAACTGTTGTTTTTTTCGTGTTGCAGGGTTACCACCAGCAGAGCTACAGCCAGCCCGAGCACCACGCCCGACGGGCACTACCACCCCACCCACGCGTTCGCGAGCTCCACGAGCATGGCGCCGCCACCGAGTACCTTATGCAGTTCCCCGGCGAGGTCAGTACCGACCGTCAATCGACAATGTAGTACTTTTGACAAATCCAATGTAAATTTTATGCGAGATTTTATGTGTAACAAAACAACAACAAAAACAACAAAATAAACGTTGGGGTCTAAAAATCGCAGTTAGAAAATGAGAGTATGAAAAATCCGGAAAAATCACGGTGCTGCAAGACAAAATTGGCAATTAAAATTAACCGTTTACAAGTATACAAAGTACACATTTGAATTGACAGAGTACATGGTCCGGCCGCCATATTCGTGAAGCAACTTCTTCCTTTCTTATTCTTCTGTCTTTGTTCTGAACAAACAGTTAATGGTTTTGTCCCATATTATGGAGATGGGTGAACCGCACAAAAACGGAAATTTGTTTTCAATCCTGCATGCAAAAGATGTAAGTTATAGATGCATTCAAACCGGTTTTTGCCGAACTTCGCACGACGAAAATTAAAACGTGGGGATAACGTTGTTGCACTTTAC